ACACCCTTACAGTCTCGGGAACCCAACAGGGCCGTTAGAGTTGCTATGAGTCGATATTGACTGAACAACTGTGAGTCCGGTATTTTGGGGGTTTGTGATAGAGATTTAAAAGCTTAAAAATATCATCATTTTGATAGATGCATTCCTTATGAAGGAGAATGTGCAATAGTAATAAGCATAATGTTCAAATATTTGGCAATGTAACAATACGCGGCTATATAAGTGTGGTTCATATGATGATGAGTTTATACCAGCATGAAACCTACAGTTATTCAATCAAACTCTAATCTAGGTGTTGCTGTGAAAATATTCTAGAAATCTGATTAAAAGCTATAACCAATTTACTTTAAGTAACACATATTGTCCTAGGTAACCTGAGGGCTTATGGTTTAGCCAGTTGGAAGATTTTCAACACATAACTGAAGATTACCCAGAGAGAAAGAAATTTTACCTGTAGATGACATTTTTAACCACAGCCTACCCTTTCAGCTGTACATTTCCCACAATCATGTAAGCCAATTACTTGCATTATTCATGTATCCATTTATCTTCCTACATATTTATCTTTCTTCCTACCTACCTTTCAACATCCATCTATCAAGCTATTTGATGGGAGCACTATTTGAAAGGTGCAGAAGTGTTCAGCTGCGAATTGATAGGTCTTTGACTGGAACACCAAGCCACTCTGTGGGAGAAAGCCTGGCAGCCTGTGTCTGTGTGTATGTAGGTGCTAAATGACACCACATACTACTGGTTGCAGTCATATGGAGGAACCCTGACTGATAATATAAAAAAAAACCATCCCAAGTAAAATTTGAAAACCATTTGGATTGATTTAAAATAGAAAAATATGCCATTTCAAAATATATAATCAGCAATTAATGTAGAGCTTAAAGTTAAATTTATAGCACTAAATACTTACATTTTAAAATTCCCCCTTGATATGTTTGAACAATTGAACTATTCAATTCTATGATATGTAAATTATGTGCCAATAAAATTTTTGAAAACTTTTTTTAACATAAAGAAAATATATATAAAAAGACATCAGATAAAAATGTGAGATACTAACATAACAAACTAGAAAAAAGTAGCATAACAAAAACCTGAGAAATTATTTCTAACAGGAAGCTTACAAAGAACAAGGATAATGAAATGGAAAATGGAAATATATAACAAAAAATTAATGAAAATAATAACTGGCTCATTGAAAAATTCAGTAAAAGTGAAAAAGTGATGAAAATTTAGCTAAGAAGGAAATACAAATGACCAATATCAGGAAAGAAAGAGGAATTAATGTTTTAGATTCTGCAGATATCTAAAACATAATCAACAAACATTATTTAAAAACTTTATTAAGAGACTTACCAAATAGAGTAAATGCACATTCTTCAAAGGCATGGATTTTCAAAGCACATTAAAGAAAAAAAAAGGTTAACCTGAATAATCTCATATCTATTAAATAAATGGAATTTTTAGTTAAAATCTTTACTATAAAGTAGATTCCAATTTTAGATACCTTTCATTAGTGAATTCCACCAATCACTTACTCAAAAAACTCTCTGCGATCGAGTTAAATGTGCCACTCAGCAAACCTCTAGGACAAGGTCAAGCTGCCCATGTGGGTTGCTGAGCTCCTTCCATGGGTAGAACATGTCATCTTTCTCGCCAGTGCGTGGCTGTGGATTTCAAACACAGCACCTTGTTGCTAATAGCCCAACTCATAACCGCTATACCAACAGAAGTGTTAATGCATAAATGATTAGTGCATTCCACTGCTTACTGACAGGTTGTCCCAAGACACCTGCTCTCATCTCGTTTCTCCTGAGCTTCTGCTCCTAGGCAATCTTCATGTGACTTAGCATCTCTCCCCAACCCCAACTCTGCTTCTTTCACTTGCTTGTCTAATATCTTTTCGTTCTGAAAAGAAGTTGGTTGGAAAACAAAAAAAGAAACAACAACAACAAAAAGAAGTTGGTTGGAGACACACACTATAGGAATCATGTGTCAGTAACATACAAAAGTAACCTGTTTCCCAATGGAATTATAAGCACAGAAGGCGTATTTGGGATTTAGAACACATCGCTTTGTTGGATGCAATCCAATTTATAACAAATCCCAACCTATGTTATAAAAAAGAGTAATCTTATTTTAACGTATTAATAAGCCTCCATTTCTAAACAAATATAGACATGCTTCATTCAGGTGGTATATAAATTTAGCATAGGTTCATAACGTTATATATAAAAATATTACAGGTAATAATTTACTAATAATTTTATTCAGTTTAAGGATAAATCTATAGAAACAAAATACTGACTGACAATGTAAAATGAATTATACCTGGGAACTACTAAGTAAAAAATATACATTTCTGATTAAATAGCTTGTACTTGACTACAATCTAAGATAGTCAATGTTATAAGTGGTAGTCTATGGTCATAAAAATGAAATATAGGGCTTCTTCATGCAGTTATGTGTTTATAAGTATTTGTTTTGGGTGTCCTCCCTCCTTCAACCTCTTCTGTCCTGACTTTTCATGGCCCTTCTTGCCTCAAGAGTAGGGCACGTGTGGTAGTTACATAATCTCGTGTCAACTTGATGAATAGAGTGAAAGGATAGAGGTTAACCTGTCAATCAGGTCACAATCTGACAGTACCACCTTGTGGGCATGGCTTTCTCCTAAGGAGGGTCCTGGAAAATCTCTTCTCTCTCTCTCTCTCTCTCTCTCTCTCTCTCTCTCTCTCTCTCTCTCTCCCTCCAGCTTCCTGCTGTTGAGACTCTCAGAGAGCTACCGGAGCCACACTAGGACCTGAGAGAGTTGTGGAGATGGGTCCACCGCCATTGGATCCACAAGACTTTGCACCCACTGGCCTGTGATCTTCCTGCATTTGGCATCATTTGTGTGTGGCTGTATGACCTAAAGATGGATTTATGGACCAAGATAGGACTCATGGACTTGATCTGGATTAGACTGAGATGTTTTCTTGATATATATTTGCTTCTTGAAATAAAACCCTTTCCTAGACATATATCAGTGTCTCTGGATTTGTTTTTCGAGTCAACCTGGCCTAACACAGCAGGTAAGGGAATGAGGACTATTGTTTCTCTCAGCTCAGCCTAATAGTTAAGGAAATTGAAATTGTGTGGGAACTTGCTTCAGGTCAAAAAAATGAGTTCAGTTCAGTTCATTTCCAGACTTGTAACTAATACTTGAATCACATGCCCTCCCTAACTGCTAAAATATACTCTCTTCCAAATCTGTTACATTTCTAAATTTGATAACTAATTTGAATGTTTCTTTTTAACCAACACTGCATATATAAGTCATACTGCACATTCAAGCACATTTAGTAATGAATTACAGTGCTGCAGTTCTTAAAGTTCCTTGACATGTTTTTACCCGATGTGCACATATTTAGTCTTTTCAAAGACAAATCTCCATTTCATTCTTTAATTGTCTTAACTGAATTTTGCCTCTTGTTGGACAAAAGATAATTATGACATTGCTTCTCACAAATTTTATTTTAAGCGATTTGTATTAAATTATTTAGCCGAATACTGCTAATATATTTTATACAATGATTTAATCTAAATAATGAAACTGTGATCTCTGCCTTCCATTGAATTTGTCATTAACAATGCTATTAGCTATGGATAGAATTAAAGATTGGAAATAATTCTCAGCTACTACATACATTCTTCTTTCTGTATTCTAATGAATTAATTTCTTACCATCTTTAATCTAGATTATCATTTTATAGCATACTGTTACACATCAGCAAATAATCCTAGATCATTTTCTTTGGCAGATCATCTCTCTAATGCTGCCAACCATAATCGAAAGTACGAATCAGGTCAGGAATTCCTCTTTGAATTATTCACTTCCATTCCATGATATTTTGTCATGCATCATTATGGACCAAAATGGGGTTTCTGCGATCTTGTCCAGGCAGACACTACATTGTGAAGCATGCTAAAAATAACACTCAAAGAATAAAAGCATTATAAAATGGGAGCTATTTACTCTAAAGTTTGTTTAAATTGTCTATGAAAGAAACCACATTGGACATTATTTTATTCGTGCTTGGCCTGACCTACAATGGAAATAGCCAAAAGCAAGACTCCAGGAATTGATGGAATCCCAATTGAAATGTTTCAACAAGTTGATGGAGCACTGGAAGCACTCACTTGTCTATGCCAGGAAATTTGCAGGACAGCTACTTGGCCAACTGACTAGAATAGATCCATATTTGTACCCATTCCAAAGAAAAGTGACCCAACAGAATGCCCGAACTATAGAACAATATTACTGATATCTCACACAAACAAAATTTCGCTGAAGATCATTCAGTAACTGCTAAAGGTTCAGATCAGTTCCCTAAGAGGACATGGAACCAGAGATGTCATTGTTCATCCGTTGTCAGATGGATCTTGGCTCAAAGCAGAGAATACCAGAAGGATGTGTACTTGTGGTTTCTTAACTATACCATGGCATTTGACTGTGTGGACCATAATAAACTATGGACAGCCTTAAGAAGAATAGGAATTCCAGAATATTTCATTGTGTTCCTGTGGAACTTGTACATGGATTAAGAGGCAGTTTTGCAAACACAACAAGAGAACATTGCATGGTTTAAATTCAAGAAACCTGTCAGGGTTGTATCCTCTCACCATACTTATTCAATCTATATGCTGAGCAACTAATCAGATAAACTGGATTATATGAAGAGGAATAAAGCTTCAGGATTTGAGGAAGGCTTATTAACAACCTGAGATATGCAGATGACACAACCTTGCTTGCTGAATGTCAGGAGAGCTTGAAGCACTCATTAATGAAGATAAAAAATGGCAGCCTTCAATATGGATTGCAACTCAATGTAAAGAAGACCAAAATCCTCACTGCTGGACCAATAGGTAACACCATGGTAAATAGAGAAAAGTTTGAAATTTTCAAGGATTTTGTCTAGCTTGGCTCCAAGATCAATTCTCATGGAAGCAGCAGTCAAGGGACCAAAAGACGTGTTATGTTAGATAAATCTGCTGCACGAGAGTGCATTAGAGTATTAAAAAGGAAAGCTGTTTCTTTGAGTACTGAGATGCACTTGACTCAAACCATGCTATTTTCTTCTTTTTAAATTACTTTTTTTAAACCATGATATTTTCTATGGCCTCATATGCATATGAAAGTAGGACATTGAATAAAGAAGACCAAAGAAGACTGGATGCAATTGAATTGTGGTGCTGGAGAAGAATATTGACTGCACAGCATCTGTGGACTGCTAAAAGGACAAACCGATCTGTGCTGAAAGAAGTAAAGCCAAAGCGCTCCTTAGAGTTCAAGATGGCAAGACATACTTTGACCTACAAGTCTTACATACTTTGGACCTACTGTCAGGAGAGATCAGTCCTTGGTGAAGGACATCATACTTGGCAACATGGAGGGGCAGCAGAGGAGAGGAAGGCCCTCAATGAGATGGAGTAACGCAGTGGCGGCCACAATGGGCTCAGGCCTGGGAATGATTGTGAGGATGATGCAAGACAGTGCAATATTTCATTCTGCTGTTTGTAGAGTTGCTATGGGCCAGGACCAACTTGCGGACACCTAACAGCAACAGATTGGATAATTTTTTGTAGTAATAATTCAGTATAGAACTATACTGATAGTTCTAGCACTAGCACCTTGACAAAGACATTCTAATATTGGTATCAGTATTAAGCAACTGACATCAGCACTTTCTTGGGGCAGGTCAACTTTTATCATTGGCCTGGACATATAACAAAATGTGTAAGGGGTGAGAAAGGCATGCTGCACTTACAGGTGTGTCTATTGGGATTGCACTTATTGAAAACAATATAAAACTCTAAACCAAAGTCATTGAATTAGATGGAAATCTATCAGTCTGATGTCCATGAAAAGTCTTTGTCTGATAGGGAAATATGAAATGGAAGTATAACAGTTCAAGCATGTGTCTCATCAAAGACAGGAATGTCTAGTCTTCTATTTTAATATTTTTCTCATTTGTTTCTTCATTGTTGCAGATCTCTGGAATTCTAGGCAAGATAATTTAAACAACTATAACAACAGACGACAGTCATGGAGTGGTTTCTGTCAGAGCAAAAGGAACAGACAGAAGAGGACAGTTGACTTTGTTCCTTTATGGATTGAATTGTGTCTCTCAAAAGTATGTATTGTGCATCCTAACACTTATAGATGCAATCCTGTTTGAGGCAGTGCTTCCTTTGTATGTCAACGAGAGCAATCAGCATTGGGTATGTCTTTAATCAATCACTTTTGAGATACAAAAAGAAGAGATGAGGTACAGAAGGAAGCACAAGCGGAGAAAGATGGATGCCAAGTGGTTATTATGCAGGAGCTAAGGAAGAGAAGGTCAAAGATAGAAATATCCCTCCCAGAGCACACAGAGCCCCTTTCCCAGAGAAGAACCCTGACATCGGATGCCTAGACTCCTTCCATTGTCATCAAGGTGATTCTGGCTCATTGCAACCCTATAGTACAGAATCCTACCACAAGGTTTCCCAAGGGTGTTCCTTAGGGAAGTAGAATGCTACGCCTTCCCACAGTGGAGCAACTCATGGGTTTGAACTGCTGACCTTTTGGAGAGCAGACAAGTGCTTAGCTAGTCTCCTCTAGCAGCTGAATTGGAGGAAATACATTTCCAATCATTAAAGCCACTCTCTTGAAGTATTTCTGTTATACCAGCTTTAAGAAAATAAGACAAGAGACCTTTCAAAAGTTAATTGTGTCACCAGAACTTGTCAGAATCATTGTATAAAGACAAAATATTTTGACACAGTTTAAACATGCCATTCATTAAAACTTCTGACTTATGATATTTCTGTTATTATATCACTGGTAAACCAAGACAGAATATAGGCTCACATTTTATTTTTAGTCAGAAAAAAATCTTCATATTCTCAGAAATACCACCTAGAACATTTCCTTTAAGTCTGTTTAATTGGGGCTATGCATCCTGGCTAGAAGTGATAAGAGAACTCTATCTGGAGTTTCATCAGGCAACCAACAGTGTCTCGCATAAATTGTCATTAGGAAAGGCCTGGCTCTGTGTCCTCCTCAGTAACAACAAACACTCATTTTGATTCCTTTATGTCAAATTCAGAGACGCCAAGAAAATATATACACATGTTCAAGTTACACAATGTGTTCATTCTAGTTACTATTTCTTATATAATTTCCACAATTTAACATTCTAATAAACATGTTTGTATAAGACGCTTAGGATTCCAAAATCAAACAGGTCAGAATTTCTCAAGTTTCCAATCTTAAAATTTAAAAAATTGCTAATAATTAAATATAAGTGATAGAGTAGAAATCATTTGAAAAAATTCTCTTTTCAAGATTTCTCAAATCATGTTGCCTTTAGGTTCAAATCAGAAACACATGAACATACATTCCACACAATTGTATTTCTTACCTAGATTCTGATTTCCAAATAGTTTCACTTTTTTGGTCCTAGTTATGTTGCCTTAAGTGACTAATGATTGTCTCTTACTCCCACCACAACTCAATACCAACATTTAATTAGGATGGCATGAAGACATAATCAGTGACGTGGTGACTCAACGGAAATGACCAGTAGTTCTGCTGCTTGTCAATCATGTTTCCAAGTGAGCATGATTGAATATATATAGTCAATGTTATGGATTGAAATGTGCTGTCCTCCTTGCAGCCCCCAAAAGATATGCTGAAGTGATAACCTTCATACTTTAGAATTTGACCTTGTTTGTAAATAGAGTTTTTCTTTTGTTATCAGCTAAATTCAAGGAGGTATTTCTGAAATATTTTTTTTTCATAAAGGGAAGAAGAGGTAGTGAGAGAAAGCCGAACAAGGGAAAACAACATATGAGACATTGCCTACAAGCCAAGGAATGCCAAAGAATATCCACCTGGGGCTACAAGAAACTGAAATAGATGAGAAAAAAATCTTCCCCTAGAGCTAGCAGAGAGGCAGAGAGAGACTTCTAGGCTCTGGAACTGTGAGAAAATAAATCCTGTCCTTTGAAGCTGCCCACTTTATGGTGTTTGTTATGGCAGCCTGTGGAAACCAATAAAGATTCCATTAAAGTTATGAAACACGTTTGCACATTGCGACAGTAGGTTGTCAAGAGAGAATAACCAGGCAGCATGTCACTAATTTTAGTTGCTTTAAATTTCAAGATTTGCAAAGATGTGTGCTCTAAAAGTTTCTTTGCTTCCACTTCTTTGATTTCATGTTAGTTAGTAGAATCATAGCTCCTAACTACATTTTTATCTGAAAGAAGTAGTTCATTTATATGTATAAATATTATTGAAAGGCTTGTTATATTTAGGATTTCTGACATGAACCAACATATTTCAAGATGCAAATAAAAATTTAAGTAAAATTTTACTTATAGTTCTTTAAATGTTTGAAGCAAATTATATTTAAATAGAGCAGGAGTGTGAAAATATATATACATGTAAGTAAATGTCTTAACATCTTTATAGTTTACAACTATATATCTAAATAAAGTATGCTAATGTTCAATGTAACTTCTATGATTGAGGATTAACATTACCATGATACTTCTGGATAGTCAGGATAAAAGTGCAAATAAGACCTGGTATGTAATTCTTATTGTTTGATGGATAATTCAGTATTTCAAGGAAAACCAATACTAATTGGGTATTAAGTTCTAAACTCAATTTATCATGTAATTTCAGGGAAAACCTTGAACAAAATAAATTGTAAATGATTCCATAAATATTTTTAAGCACAATTACAAAAAAAGTCAATCTTCTAAGGGTTAGAGAATATAGAAAGACACACAAAGATCTTAAAACTAGCAAGGAAATAATATAGGATCCTAGTAATGGTAGGAAGTAAATGTTAAGATCTACCACAGACATATATACATATTGCTATAAACCAAACCAAACCTCTGCCATTGAGTTGATTCTGATTCATAGCAAGCCTTTGTAAGCTGTTCAAGTCTGTACATCCTTACTGGAGTAGATAGCCTCCTAGTTCTCCTGCAGAGCCATTGCAGCGCTCATTCAATGGCACCACCACAGGCCCCTTTGTCCACACACTCCAGAAAAACCAAAACCAAACCCACGGTCATCAGTCAATTCTCACTCATAGCAATCCCTATAGGACAGAGTAGAACTTGCTCTTTGGGTTTCTAGGATTTAAAAGGCTCTTCTTTCTCCTGTTAAGCGGCTGGTGAATTCAAACGGCTGGCCTTGCTGTTAGCAATCCAATACATAACCCACCATGCCACCAGGGCTCCTTCCAGAGCTCTTTACAGGTTGATATGCACTGCCATCAAATCAATTCCTGTTCATAGGAAGCCTATAGGACAGAGTAAAATTGGCCTTGTAGGTTTCCAGGATTGTAAAAGTTTTTATGAGAGTAGAAAGTTTTCTTATAGCTAACCTATAATACACTACCCAGGCTTTTCTACATATCGATTATGTTGTTTCTTGTTAAGTGTCCTCAAGTCAATTCTGACTCTTGGAGACTATGAAAACCCGACAGACGAGCCATTCTCACAAGCGTTCTTAGGACTGAGCCTACTATTGCAGTCACTGTGTGATCCATCTTTTTTTCCGTTATGCCTCTACTTTACCAAGCATGATGTGCTTTTCCAAGGGCTGATCTCTTCTGATAACATATTCAAAGTACATGAAATGAAATCTCTCCTTTCCTATGTTTAAGGAACATTCTGGCTGTACTTTGTCCAAGATCAATTTGTTTGTTCTTTTGGCAACCCATAGTATTTACACTATTCTTAGCCAGCACCATAATTCAAATGCCTCCATTCTTCTTTGGTCTTCTTTGTTTAACATCCATCTTTTGATAGCTGGGCACCATCAGCTTTCTTCACCACATTTGCTTATGCATCCATTTGTCTTCAGCGATCATATCAGGAAGGCGAGCCCACAGTGATATGATTTTTTCTTCTTTGATGCCTGAAACCTGATCCTTTTGACACCTCGTGATCCCACAGGCTGGTGTGCTTCTTCCATGTGGGCTTGGTTGCTCTGGGGGATGGACAACAGAAAAGTGATCGAAGGGACACATAGGGCAGTATAAGATACGACAAAATAATAATGTGCAAATGTGCTGGACACAATGGATGGATGTATGGATTGTGAGAAGCCTCCAATAAAATGATTAAAAAAAGAGAAAAAAACATCCATCTTTCATAAGCAAATGGAACAATTGAAAAATACAGTAACCTAGATCAGGCAAACTTTAGGCCTCAAAGTAACCTATTTGTTTTTCAACATTCGAAAGAGGTCTTATGCAGAAGATTTACCCAATGAAATGTGTCCTTTGAACTTCACTTCTGTTTCTATGTGCATTTACTGTGGATACAAGAAGACAAAATCCTTGACAACTCAACCTTTTTTTTTTTTTTTCATTTATCATGACGTTAAATATCAGTACAATTGTGAGAATTTGGGTCTTTTTTACATTGACTTTTAATCCATAATGAAGACCGAAATGCTTGATCTTCATCAGCAAGTATTTCAAATCCTCCTTACTTTCAGCAAGCCAGGTTGTATAATCTACATATCATATATTATTAAGAAGCCATCCTCTGATCCTGATTGTGGTAGTTATATAATCGTTTGTCAATTTGAGAAGATTAAGAGTGAAGGGGTGGAGTCTAGCCTGTCAATCAAGTCATAGTTAATGAGGCCTCTGTGTGGACATGACCTTCTCCTAAGGATTCTGGAAATTCCCATATTTCCCTGTGTAGACAGGTGACTCTAGCTACTTACTCCCTGGGAGACAATGCAGCTGACAAGACACATGCTGGAGAAACCACATGGAGACCCCTGCCATCCCTGAGATGCTTACAACACCACTGGATCCACAGGACTTCCCACCCACTGGTCTGTGATCATCCTGCACTTGGTGTCATTGGATGTGTTTAATGAGTCTGAAGAGGGCTTCATAGATTGATATTGGACATATGGGCTAATATCGGACTTATAGACTTGATCTGGACTGGACTGGGATGTTTTCTCAATATTCAATTGCTCTTGTATATAAAGCTCTTTTCTATACACATATAAATATCTATGAATTTGTTTCTCTAGTCTACCCAGACT